ACTCAGATCCTTGCATTTGCCAGTCAAGCGTTTATCCTACTGAGCCATCTCCCTGGCCCCAATCAGTGGTTTAATCTTTCTTTCCTTCTTTCTTTCTTTCTTTTTTTTTTTTTTTTTTTCAAACCTTAAATTATCAAACGTTAAAAACCCAAATCTTCATCCACATCCGGACAGGTATTCACTTGGTTACCCACAGAGTTTTCAATTCTGTGTATATGTACGATACCGGGAATTGAACCAGGGCCTCACACATGCTAAGCATACACTCTACCACTGAACTACACTCACAGTCACTCCCATGATTCAATTTCACTCTTAGAGGAGGCAGCTGGGGTCATCTAATGGTGCCCTGAAGAAGAAATGACATCCTAACTCATTCTCAAGGTGCTGATTACAGTGCTGTGACCAGGACTTGACACAGGGACTCTGCCTTTGGAAAGGGCTCTCCTGTCACAGTGGATCTGCCCAGCATCCTTTCCTGTTGCACAAAGATGCGGAGTTAGGCAAAAGCAGCCCTCATCTGCTCCCAGCCAGCTGTCCAGCCCATCCTGCATAATCATTACTTAAATTACCAGACCTGTGCCTGGAAAGAACCAAAAGGTTTGACCTTCAGAAAGTGAGCCTCCAGAGAAGAGGAATTTCTATTTTGGGGATGTGGATAATGAGCAGAGGAGCAGGCAAACTACGCTCCAGGCTCCCTGTCTTTTTCTAGCTTGGTGAAATTGGAAGCGTGTACCCTCCTTTGTCCCCTGGCTCCCCTACTAATTGGCTTCAGTGGAGGATGGCTGCCTGGCTGTGTCTGGGTAAGGGGAGAGGAGGGGGTGCCACCAGGGAGCATCCCCCAAAGCCTCAGGGGTCCACCCTCAGGTGGATGGAAACAGCCTCCAATGGTCACCAGCAAGGCCCGGCCTGTCCTGCAGCCATGTCCAGTCCTCTCTGTTTGCTTTGGGAATCATCCAAGGACATGGTTTCGCTTTTGAGAAATTCAAAAGTGGAAAACATCCCAAAACAAAAAGCCCCTGGAAAATCGTGCACACACCCATCCCCTCAGCTGCCAGGTCTGTGCTGGGCTGCTGAGAGATACAAGCAGCTCTTTTTCCCAGTTCAAAGATACTGGGTCTGGCCTCCTGGTCCTCAGGTCTCCTGGGCCCTGGTGTGACACTCAGCTGAGCACGCGGTCTTCTCTGAAGGTCTCCAGACCTGCCTTTGTGTGAGGGAGAGGCGGAGTTGGACGGAATGGAGCCTGGTGGTAGCCTGAACAGAAGAACACTCCCTCACAAGGGTAGGACGTGAACTTGGGTCAGAGCCTGCTTTGGGCCCACATAAGAGCAGGTGTCAGTCAGACCCTGTGGAATGTTCCCAGTGCGTGACACTTCCTGAGGGCTGTGGCTTTCAGTAAGGTCTACTGGTCCACCCTTGCCACAGAAGAGTAGAAGCAGCTGAATTGCCAGGTCACAAGACAGGAGCTGGGAGGGCCACATGTTTCCATGGGTGCCCAGGGGGCCATGCCCAAAAAGCATACCCTTTTTGCAAAGCACTGCGGGGAATTCTGCCAGGCTGCAAATGGACAGGCTGGTCTGCTTCCAACCCTCCCTCAGATGGAAAGTTGAGGTTTTTGCAATTTTGTAATTGTTATGTTTAATAAAGATACCAATTTCTTCATCTTGGGTAATTTTCAAAAATGGAAACCAATTTTCTTTGTTCTGGATGAGTCAAAGCCCACAAAGTCTATAAAATCACATCTCAATCGCATAGAGGGTATTTTAGCTTTATTCCACAAATGCTCATTTAGGGGTGGGGATGGGGGACAAAGTCCTGTTTGTATTTGCTCAGGTAGATCAGAGGAAGGGGAATTGGAAAAGAACATTCTGGAAAAGAAGGTTCTAGGGCTACGGATATAGTTCAGTGGCATAAGCACCTGTCTGGCAAGCTCAAGGTCCTGAGTTCAATTCCCAACACCAGGGGTGGGGGGAGAAGGTTCTAGAGCCATGAAAGAACATAATTCCCAGGCTATTTCCTTACTATCTGTGGTCAGCAAAATAACAGCCCCTAAAGATGGCCATGTCATAACCCTGGAAACTGTGGATATGTTACATTATATGGAAAAAGAGATTTTGCGATGGGAGATGACCCTGGGTTATCTGGTGGGAACAGAGCAAGCCCAGGCTTCCTGTAGAATGGAGGTAGGAGATCTGACAGCTAGAAGATGAAGCTAGGCAGAAATAAGATTTGAAGATGCTATTTGCTACTTGGCTGGTTTTGCAAGTGAAGGAAGGGACCCTAAGCCAAGGAATGCAGGTGGGCTCTAATACCCTTTTTTTTTTTTTCTTTCTTTTTTTTTTTAGAACCGGAGATTGAACTCAAGCCTTTGTGCTTGCCAGGGAAGCGCTTATTCCACTAAGCCATCTCCCCAGTCCCCCTTTTTTTTTTTTTGGCAGAACCGGGGATTGAACTCATGCCCTTGCACTTGCCAGGGCATGCTTATTCCACTGAGCCATCTCCCTGGCCCCAGTCCCCTTTTTTTTAACACTTTTTTTTTTTTCTCAAGTGGGCTCTAGAAGCTAGAAAAGGCCAGGTTATCTTATCCCTCAGCTCCTCTGTAGACTTCAGATCTCTAGAAAATAATATGTTTGTGATGTTTTATGTGCTTTTTTTTTTTTTTTTCCAGTACCAGGGATTGAATTTAGGACCTTGCGCTTGCCAGGCAAGCACTTATTCCACTGAGCTATCTCCCTGGCCCATGTGATGTTTTAAATCTGTGCAGAAATAGGTGCCTAATACACCATCCAACGGAAAACCCAGCTCCTCTTCCAAGGACTGAGGAACAAACCCATCTGCTCAGGAAGCTGAAGATGCCATACGCCAAGGTGGCAGCCAGGATCTGAAGGTCAAGGTAGCCAGAAGAGTGTGGGAGTCTGGCTGCACATACAGACAACTACTCCCAACAGACTGCACCCCAGCAACACTCAGAGGGTAGGCCTGGCTTCCTAACACCCTCCTCCTCTGATACAAGATCACATACACAAGCTGGGGGTGGTGGTATGTACCTGCAATCCCAGCACTAGGGAGGCTAAGGCCGAAGGCGGATCATTGAGAGTTTGAGACCAGCTTGGGCTACAAAGTAAGCTCAAGGCCAGCCTTAACTGCACAGTGAGACCGTGTCTCAAAAAGAGACACACACACACACACACACACACACACACACACACCAAGTCCATTTTCCGAAGGAAACATGAAACAGTGATTCACATGAAGGTCCTAAAAATGTATTGCTTTTCCTTCTCATTTACAATGAGAAAGAACATGTCCATAGATGGTAATGCAGCCAGGTGCGGTATCGAATATCAAATCCCAGCATTCAGGAGGCCAAGGCAGGAATGATCATTGGGAGTTCAAGGCCAGCCTGGGTTACACAGGGTGTTTCTAAATTAAATCTAAACAACAAATCTTGGCTAGGAGGTATAATTAGTTCAGTGGAAGAGCTGTGACTAGCATTCACAAGCCTCTGGGCTCAAGCTCCAGCATGTACACATGTACTCTCCTCTCCCCACCCCTTTCTGCTCTCTCCATGTGTGTGTGGTAGCATACACCTGTAATCCCAGCATTCTGGGAAGCTAGGGTAGGGGAATGCAAATTGAGCCCAACCCAGGCAATTATCCATTTAGCAAGACCCTGTCTCAAAATTTATATATATGGCTGGGGTGGTAGCTGAGTGTGAAGGCCCTGGGATCGGTCCCCACGACCACAAAAAAGTAAAAGAAGAAAGTATTTTGAAGTAATGACCCTGAAGTGTAGCCAGAGTGGACAGGCCTGAAGGTTATCAAGGGGCAGTGGAAGGTAGAGACTGAAAGCTCAGTAGAAAGGCCAGCCTCAGCAAGAATACTCCCAAGGGGCAAAGATAGGGTCAGCCCACACAGGTCCAGAGTAGAAACCATTCAGAGAATGAGAAACCCAGGCAAAAGCTACAGGAGCCACAGAATCCTCCACGGCCCATCTGCTCCTGGAGACCTCTGGGCAGAATGTGGCAGCCCCAGCGCCCAGCATGGCCAACCCAGAAGCAGTATGCAGGGAGTTCTCAGAATGGGAAGTTGCAGCCCTTCGCCCCAGGACAAAAGACTTGACTTCTCAGACTGGGGGTTTGATTCTAGGCTCCCCTGGAAAGGAGAGTCTGTTTTGGGGATCCCTGCCTCTCCGGATTTGGATCCCCATGTATCAAAAGCAAAGCAGCGTCTTGTTTTTGTCCCATCCTGTCTCCTGGCCAGGGATGCACATGGGTAAGTTTTTGGAAATAGGATAACGATTTTTAGACAAAGAAAGGGGAAAGGCTTTCTTTGAAAAACTCAGCTCAGGACGGGGGAGGCGACTGACAAGAATGAGGGCAGAGCCAGAGGGCGCCGAGGTGAGGGGGCCGAGGGGTGAAGTGGCAATCAGGACAGAGGAGGCATTGTGCCCACGGGAACCGGGGCCAGAGAGCTCTGCTCTTCGGCTCCCCCCACTGGGACTTCCGAGATGGGAACCGGGTGGACGCCGGCCGAGGAATGAGAGCTGGCCCGGCGGCCCCACCCCCCAGCCCGCTGTTTCCAGTTAACTCCGCCCCTGCCAGCTCCACCGACTCAGGGCCTCAAGCCTGGGTCGCCTACAGGAAAAGGGGAGTCCAGGTAAGCGTCATAAACTCACGCACAAGGTTTCCCGTCCCCGTGCCTCAGTTTCCCCTCTTCAGTCTTTGCGACGCTAGCTTTTCAGACCAGATTGGAAATGCCCTCCCAGGCGGGGATGTAGAAGGTGGTTATGGGACTGCCCGGCCGGTTTCCTCAGTCAACCTCCTCCAACGCTGAGATCTTGGGGAGCACGGCTCCTCCTACTCGCGGCTTCTAGAGGCCAAAGTGAGGACCCGGAGTGGACAGGAAAAGAGAGCTGGGCACATCTGGCCTGTGGTTCCGGCGCAGAGCCCCCTCTCGCGCCGCCGCTCGAGTCCCCGCTGCGCGTGACCGGCTGCTCCTCCCCCGCCCGCCAAGGATGGGGCGTGGGGTGCGGCGGGACGCAAGACCGGATCCCTGCGGACGCGCGCCGCGGCTCTGGGATGGGTGACGATGTCCCTGTCCCCTCCCCTCAACTAGCTCTTGTTTCCGGGAGTTTCTCCATCCATGAGCGCGTCGCTGAGTCACCTTCTCCGAGCTCTCTCGGGACGCTCCGCACCCAACGGTCCTGGGATCGCGAATCCCAGGCGACTTGTCCCCCTGCTTCGCCCGGGGCCCCCCAAAAGGTGTGAATGAGGCCGGTCCATCGGGTACTCTGGATGAGAAGACACCATTGAGGCTAACGGGCTCCGCGCTGTTTCTGGACCCGGCTCTTCTCAACCGGACTAAGCGATGCGCAGAGGAGAATGTGAGGGGCGGTAGGGCGCCCCTGTGGGCGCGTGAGCACCCTGCACCAGGCCCAGACTGTGTCATCCTCCTTCAGGGATTATTTTTTTTTCTAACTCTTGCCCTACTTGGTCAGGTCACTAACTCGGCCGTGGCAACTTCTTCCTCGCAGTCTACACAAATAACCTTCCAGGGATTTAACTCCAGTAGGTCGCGGACACGTTCAGGTCATTTGCCGTGAAATGCAGCGCGCTTGTGCGCAGACAGGCAGACAGACAGACAGACAGACAGACAGACAGACACACACACACACACACACACACACACACACACACACACTCTCAGGCACCCGCGTCCCGGTTCGCCTCCGCTTTTCCCGTGGAGTAGGCGGGAGGGGCCGGGACAACGGGACCACGCCCTCCATGCTGGCCTCTCCAATACCCGCCTGGACCCCTAGGCCGGTCCACACCGCCAGACTCCTCTACAGCCGGCGGGAAGAGCGGACCTGATCGCCCACTGCAGGCAACTTCTCTGTTGCAGGTGAGCTTCGGTAATGAACCCTGGGGAAAGGATCCAACTTTTAAGATTCCTGACAAATCTCCAGATGTAGTACTCCGGCTCGGAGCCCGCGGCCAGTCCAGCACTTCCTGGGACGGGGCTCCAAGGCTTCCTCGGGTTCGGTGATGAGCTGGTTAGAAAACGAAAAATAACCCGTGACGGAACAGCAAGGGAGGAAGAGAGGGGAGCCCTTGGGAGCTGGCGCGGGGGGGGGGGTACGACACGTGACACCTCCTTTTGAATTTTGGTGGGCTGGGGCGAGCGCGCTGCATCCTGGCTGCCTGCTGCACTCAGAGCTGCGGGGTCGCGGCATCGCTGTGCAGTTCTGGATCGTGCGCGCTCACAGAGCCACGCGCGGTCAGCGTCAGCGCGGAGGTGGGCACCGAGGGAAGCCCGTGCAAGGCCTGCGCCTCCTCCGGTGCTGGGTGCTCACCGTCGCGCGCCTGGGATGTTGCGTCCCGGGCACGCCGTTCCTGGGATTCACCGCTTTGGTTCTTTTCCACCCGCCGAGGGGCGGGGGCGCGCAGACGGGTCCTAGGACTTAGCCAGAAACCTGAGCGCAGGCGAGCCGCGGGCGCGGACAGAGCTGTAGACCGCGCGACACGCAGGTCCCTTCTCCGCGAGCGGGAGGAAGGAGGGGCGGGGCCAGCTGGCGCCCGGGCACGGTGCCCTCCCCGTGCCGCGGCGCCACGCCACTAAGTTGCGAAAAGTTCGAGGCCGGAGGCAGCGAGGTCTGGGATTTCGCGCCACCTGGCTCTTCAGTTGTCCCTCAATAGTGGGGCTGAGTCAGGGATTACAAAGCTGGGTTCCGCCCCAGGCCGCGGGAGGGAACGTAGTGGACGAAACAGCCTATCAGTCCTCTGGGAAGGGCCGCGCTCGCAGCCCTCCCGTGGGTGGTGGCTACCGGGCAGCTCGCAGGAGGGAACTGGGTCACGCACCGTGCAGACTTCGTGCCCACTCAGCGAGTGTCTCTGAGGAGCGCGCGGGGCCCTAGGTGCTCTGAAGCTGGGGCTGGGAACGCTGTGACGCGGCTGACGGGCGGGGATCCTCGCCCCGAACTTCGTGCCTTGTGTTTTCCGCCCAAGTTCTGGGTTAAAAATTAACACTTCGCTCCCCTGGCAGCCTTGCGGGGTGGGGAGCTCGTCAGGCAGACCGAGCCACTGGGCCTGACTCGTCCATCAATCGGGCAAGAGCGCGAAGCTCCAAGAGGAAAGACCCAGAAAACTATTCTTCGTCTTGGGAGTGTGGGGACGTAGTCTCTTGCCGGCACTGGACCTCAGCTCCCTGAAGCTCGGTCCTGGACCCACGGGTTTCTGGAAATTCAGCAGCGCGCAACTGCCCGCGTGAGGTTTCAGGATCCGACCTTGCGCTCATCCAATGTCCGGGAGCCGTGGCCCAGGACTCTGCCGGCGCTGTCCCTTCCTGTCCCTCAGATCTGGACGCCGCACGGAATGACGCGGGTGCCCCCAGAGCCCCAGCTCCGGGCGGGAAGGGCGAGCCCCACAACCAGCCCCACGATGCCCTCCTGCGCGGAACCGATAAGGAGCTGAAGGCAGGATCCACAGTCACCGAGGGCAGCGCCCTGACATCGCCGGGGAGCCATTGGCAGCTGGAACCGCAGGAGGCCATGGATCCAGGTTTGTGGGGACCTGGCTGGGAGGGGCTGTAGGAGCGTCTCTCCTGCTCCCTCTCCAAAAATGATGGATCGCCAAAAGAGGGGGTCTGGGGACACTGAAGAAGGGACACTTTTCCCCACGAGGCTAAATGCCGGTCGGGCCTGAAACAAGGGAATGGGGTGTCAGGGGCGCCGTGCGCTACCCAGGACTTTCTCGCGGAGGCCGCCTCCTCCATCTGGGCTCCTTTCGGTCAGTTATAGCAGGTATTGCAGGAGCTCCGTTTCTGCCCACTGCCCCTGCTGCGCTCTTCCGCCCCCAGTGGCCGGCTAGGGACGTTGCTCTCTAGGGTTTGTTTTCACAGCGCGCAGCAGAGCCCGAGGCGCGCTCCCGCGGCCCTGCAACGTGCTGGTGTTGCTGAATCCGCGAGCCGGCACCGGCAAGGCGCTACAGCAGTTCCAGAGATTCGTGCAGCCTCTTCTGGCTGATGCCGAAGTCTCCTTCAAACTGATGGTCACTGGTGAGTTTGCCCCCTTCCTGGAAAAGGTGTACGCATTCCCTGGGCAGAACCTGGCCCTAAGAACAGCGAGTCTCCCATCAGAGCGACAGAACCATGCACGCGAGCTGGTGCAGGCGGAGGAGCTGGGCCGCTGGGACGCGCTGGTGATCATGTCTGGGGACGGCCTGATACACGAGGTGAGATTTGCGCCAGAGGCCGACCAGGAGAGGGCCGGGTGGTGCTGCCCCGCTAAGGCCGTGCCTGCTCCACAGGTGGTGAATGGGCTTATGGACCGGCCAGACTGGGAGACTGCCATCCAGAAGCCGCTGTGCAGCCTCCCTGGAGGCTCTGGCAACGCATTGGCAGCTTCCGTGAATCACTATGCTGGGTGAGAATCTCTGTGCCCCTACAGCCAGGTTTTTGAGTCGCTATAGGCTGAGTTAGTGTCCATTTTCTTTTCTGGAAGGGATCTCTGGGGTGTTCTCTTTTTTTTTTTTTTTTTCAAAGTTTTATTGACAAAGAGATAGCAATGAGACAGTTTCAAATCAAATCGGAAGGACAGTTTCAACAAATAATACACTGCATATATTCTTCTTAGTGGTTAATTGCTGTACAAGATGCGGACTTGTGATCCTATTCACAAACACCATTAGAACAAATCATTCTATTCATTAAGAGAATGCAACTATATATCTATCCCAACCTCTGGGGTGTTCTCTTGATGGCCCTGGCTGTCACTGTTCTAGACAGGTGCTGAGGGACTACACCTTGTTTTGCCTACTCCCACTCCCCAGGGGAGGAAGGGGAGGATGCCTGGGGCTCCTGGCCCACCTGACTTTTTTCCTGCAGCTATGAGCAAGTGACTAATGAAGATCTCCTGACCAACTGCACACTGTTGCTGTGTCGCAGGCTCTTAGAGCCCATGAACCTTCTGTCCCTGCACGCTGCTTCCGGAATTCGCCTCTTCTCCGTGCTCAGCCTGGCCTGGGGCATGGTAGCTGATGTGGATGTGGAAAGTGAGAGGTATCGGTGCCTGGGGGAGAAGCGCTTCACGGTGGGCACCTTCTTTCGCTTGGTGAACCTGCGCACCTACCGGGGCCAACTGGCCTACCTCCCCATAGGAAGTGCTGTCTCCAGTAAGACACCCACTTCCCCTGTGCTGCTGCAGGGGGGCCCTGTGGACTCATACCTTGTTCCCCTGGAAGAGCCAGTGCCCTCTCACTGGACTGTGGTGCCCGAGCAGGACTTCGTGCTGGTGCTGGCACTGCTGCACACTCACATGAGCAGCAAGATGTTCACAGCACCCATGGGCCGATGTGCAGCTGGTGTCATGCATCTGTTCTATGTGCGTGCGGGGGTATCGAGGACCATGCTGTTGCGCCTCTTCCTGGCCATGGAGAATGGGAAGCACATGGAGTGTGACTGCCCATACCTGGTGTATGTGCCCGTGGTTGCCTTTCGCCTGGAGTGCGAGGGGAGGGGTGTGTTTTCTGTGGATGGGGAATTACTGATCACTGAGGCTGTGCAGGGCCAGGTGCAGCCAGATTACCTCTGGATGGTCAGCAGTGGCAGGGAGCCCTCAACCACCGAGTCCCAGCAAGAGCCACCCTCCCAAAAGCCCTCATGACTGAACTGGCCCCATAGTGCCTTTGTCCACTGGTGTAGGCTGAGACCAGGGCCCTTCCCACCCTGAATGGGAGGGAGGGCCTGTCCAAAGCTCACGTGGGGGTGATGGGGACTCTTCTGAAGGGTGAAAAGGTAGGGGGCTTTATGCTTTGGGAGGATCAGAGGCCAGAATGGAGTGCTGGGCAACAGCCCCACTGACTGGGGTAGCTGCTTGTGGTAGGCAATCACATTTGTTCTGGGAGTTCTCTTCCACTAATCAAATTCAAATAAAGTGAGATCCTCAGCCTGCTGATCCTGTCCTGGGGAGTTGGGTGAGGTGTTGCTCCAGCTGGGGCCTTAGAATTATGTCGGTGATGCCTACTGGTGCTGCTGTTTTGGATGCACTGCAGCGGCTTGGTGGTGGGCACACAGCCTTCCTATGCACTGATGCTCAGGCCAGCTTGAGCCTGGCAGACTGCCTGAGCCCACACCTAGGAACGTCATGGCTCTGTGCTTAGTCTCTGACCCTGGGTCACACAGCCAGCTGCTGAGCATGGCGGAAGCTTTGTGTGGACTGAGCAGGAAAAAGACATCTGAGTTTAAGGCATTAAGGAAATTGGCAAGGAGCAAGGGACAGATTTCTGTAAGTCAGGATGGCAGGTGGCAGTTTCCTTAGGGCACACCAGCTCCTGCAGGCTCACTCAGCAGCCTCTGCCCTTAGTCACTCTGTCTTGTACAGTAGCACTGGGCAGAAGTTCAAAGCAGCAGGGTGCGGTAGATGCCAGTCTTCCTGAGCAACGACATGGGCTTCCAGCCCAGGAGAGTGACACCTGCCCACCACATGGACTGTGAAGTCAGTTCCCCAGAGCCTGGCAGGGGTGGAATGGGTCAGCCTGGCTGGGGAGCACAGCTGTTTAGAGGTAGACACTGCTGTCACTTGGTTTTAGAGGAGTCTGCACAAACTGAGAACATTACCCAGCCCAGAGATAAGAGGACTGACCCACGTAGTATCTGCCCTGGGATTCTGACCTATGGCGTCAAAGGCATTCATTTGCAGGCAGGGAGTATCGAAGTCCCATTGCCACAGGCCTTTGCTGGGGAGGTGGACTGTGAGGGACACTGGCATGTGAGGAAGAAAGGCAACAGAGCCCTGCTGAATGAATGGCAGAGGCAGGTTTAATGGTGTCACCTTGTCTTATTAATGAGCCAACCAAAAGAAAAAAAAATGCAAGTAAAAAAAATGTTTAATCACACAGCACTTTATACAGGTATTGTAAGCAGTAGGCATTCACATCTCTATATGAACGACGCACAGGGAAGCAAGCCCCCTGGCACTCTGGATGTGTCTCTAGATTGCCAGTCTGGGTGCCAGGGAGGCCTCAGTGCATGGTCCAGCTCCATCCTTCCCAAGCTCTGCTGCCTGGGTGGTCCTGGCACAGTACAGGTGTGGAGCCCACTTAAGGCTGACAAGACGAATCATGCTTTGGCTTTTTTTTTTTTTTTTTTGTCTTTTTTTTCTATTAAGAGTTAATATCTTTGCTTTTGAATTTTTCCAACCTTAAATATTACATACATACACCAGAAATTACATAGCTGCAATGTGCTCAACGGCATTCTCTTAACCTGGAGCTTCACATTATCAAAAGCCTAGAAAACTTGTAAACCTCTGCGCCTGTCTCTGGGTAGATGGGGGTGGGGATGAGCTCCTGCTGCTACTGCCTCCCCGCTCTGGGCGGAGCCTGCGGTGTGCAACACACTGCAGGACTGCCGAGGCCACTGGCTGGGACAGGCCCTGGTGCTTGCCTGGCCTGTGCTCCTGCCTCCTTGCTGGAGAGCAGACTGGACAGGCAGCAGTGGTCTGGGAAGTCCCCACAGGCATGGCCAGGGCCAGAGCTGCCAGCACCCCACCAGCTGTGGGTGGGAAAGGCGAGCAAGGCACCTGCAGCTGCTTCTCCCAGCAGCTTCTTGTCCTCGACTCCATGTTGGTGTGAGGGCCACCTAACCTAGCCTGCTCCTGACTTCTTGTAGAGAGCAAGTTCAAAGGCCTAAGGGTTATAATGTGGCAAACAGGCCAGAGCTGGAAGTCAGCCATAGCAGCTACAGCTCCCACAGGATAGTGTTCACGCCTAGGGACTGAGGGGACCCAGTGGTGGTGGCAGTAGGGGTGTGGGGAAGCTACAGTCCAACTGCAGAGGATAAAAGGGACCAGGGACACTGCAGGAGCAGCCCATACTTCATGCAAGGCACATCCACTCTCCTGCCCATGTGCAGGGCCCCGGAACACCCACCTCTGACCTGAGAAAAGGACAGCAAAGAGCAAGTGTTGGGACATTCTGCCTGGGGTGACAAGCGGAAAATTGCAACTAGGTTCCGGTTTTCTTTGCCACAGGGTACCTGCCTGTTCAAAGATTGTTTCGGAACAGAAACGCAGCATCTTGGGACACCTCTTGCACTTCAGCATCAAACTTGCCTAGGGGAGAAGAGGGCAGTGGGAAGCTCGAACTGGGGCCCGGCTGGGAAGGGAGGTTCCAGGGGAGGGAGTGAGCAGGCAGCGGTGGCCTCTCCCGCTGTGACGCTCCTTCCTTGAGGGCTGGTGGCTACTTGTCCTCTGTGCTTTCGGGCATGCCTGCCTCCAACAGGGCAGCCCGGAACTGCATCAGGACACCCCTGATGCTCTTGATGAAACCCTTAGAGAGTGGGAAGAGGGGAAAGCCGATGTCTGGGTAGCCACTCTTCTCAGGCAAGAAGCTCCGGTAGCTCTTTCTCCGCTTCTTTGGTTTGACGCTGGGTGGTGTGGATGCGTCAGGCACCATCTCCGAAGTCTGATCTGTGTGGTCCCTGCTAGTTGAGGCCAGGCCCTGGGCACCACCCTCTGAGTCTGAGCCCTGTGAAGCCTCTCCTGGGGCCATCCCACCATCCTCAGGTTCTTCTCGGCCAGAGTCTGAGAGCTCGGCCACAGCAGATGGCTCTGGTGAGCTGCTGTCCTTGGCGACCCCATTGGGCAGCGCCTGGGCCCTCTCTAGCAGGGCATGGGTTTCCAACCAGGACTCAATGCGGTTTACTAGCCGCCAGCCACCACTGCTGAAGTGCTGCCGAATCTCCTGCTCGAAGACCTCAGGGGGCCGCCGAACCAGCTGCGTCATGGACTGTACCACACGGATCAGTGCCATCTCATTGTAGCAGCGACTGTTCTCATAGCCTTCCTGCAAGCCTCGGTCACTGTCAAAGCCAGCTTCGTTGTAATAAGGTTCATTCACCAGGATCAGACCTGCAGGGGTACACCTTACTTAGTGGTAGGGAAAGTCTATTGGGTGGGTCTGCCTCCCACCCCAAGGGGACAGACTCCCAGCCAGTGTGACCTTGTCTGGCCCTGCCATACCTTGGATGGAGATGAGCACCTGGAGTAGGCTGGATTTACTTGTCCACCTCTCTGTCCCCTGAAACACACAGGTGCCATCAAGTTTGTCCCAGACAGACCCTCACCCCAGCCAGGGCCCTGGTGCCTCACTCACCTTTCCAATCCAGGTGCCCAGGAGGCTGACACACACTTTCCCGTTGTCATACAGGTTGGGGTTCAGGCGGCCACTGCACTGGGAGAGGTAGCAAAAATGGGGGGGCACAGCCGGGTAGATGTTGGGGAGCTGGATGTCAAACAGGTAGAGGCCATCCTCATAGGGGGTTCGAGTGGGGCCCTTGATTAGAGCTGAGAAGAGGTCCTAGGAAGGAGAGAGGGCATGGTCAGAGTACCATCCTGGTCCTCCAGACACCACCGGCAACACGACGCTACAGGCAAGCACGTGCGCTAGCGGCAGAGGAAGGGTGGTCTCACCCAGAAGGATGGCACTGAGAATTTGGATTCTAGGGCAAATGTTGGGAGAGCACAAAGTTGTTAAGTTTCAAGAGCTGGCTCTTGGCATGCAGGTTCTGGACATGTGAGCATGTCCAGCACACACTGTGACTGCCAGAGCAACAGCTGGGGGAGCGAGGGCAAGACAGATGGAGGGGGTGAAGCACTAACAGGGAGCAACGCAATCCCCTCACGTGTGCTCGGATCTGGGCCACCCTGAGATTTGGAAAGAATGAGAACAAAATAAAATATACAGCTCCTTTTATCCCTCAGCAGCGCTGAGACTAGCTAGAATTCTCTAAAGGAATTTTACCAATACTCAGGATAAACAGCAGGTTATCAAGGCCCTCCTGGTCACTGAGCTGTCGGAGTGCGGCCTTCGCCCCCTACCCCTCTGCTCTCAGGATCCCTGCTCTTTTTCTCTGGCTCCTTCCAGAACAGGGCCCAAGCTGAGCCTTGAATTCGAACTCACTGTCTGCCATGGGCCTGGCTCACAGCAGAGGCCAAGAAGGGCTTGTTCAGTAAGTTTAGTCTACCTCTCACAGCCTTCCCTGAGGAGTGCTGGATCCTGGCCACAAGCAGAGAAACAGGAAATAGAAGGTGCTATTCTGCAGCAGGAGGAACCAGCTGAACCAACATGGATACCATGGGCAGGTCTCACCAACTACCACATGGAGAAAAGCAAGCCACCTATAGGTGCCACACCGTCTGTGTAACCAAACTGTATAAAATGCTATGTGCTGTGGTGATATGCAAGAATGCCAAACTATCTTTGAAAACATCATCTGGAGGGTTATCCACCAATGACCCCTGACAGGTCTCCTGGGAACTGGGAAAGGGCCTGCGTGTTGGGGAAAAGGAGGCAAGGGCTGGTTAAGGACAACCTGAGCTCTTTCTTAAGTGTCTTAATTTCGGTTAATTATACAGTTAATTTTAAGCTAATTTTTAAAGTAAGAGGAAAAAACTACCTCAGGCCATGGGCCTGCATAAATCCGAGTTAGCCCTCATTTGACAGAATTGTTTCCTTCCTGTAAAAGTGGGTGAGTGGCTGCTGCCAGGTGCCCTAGGCTGGCAGTGTGTTGGACACCGAGTGCCTGCACAGCACATCTGTGTCTGCCCTGCTAAGCCCCATCAACCCACTTGCCATTCTATCCTCAAAAGTCTTGACCATGATGCCATCAGGCAGTGAGGTAGCCAGCAGTGCCATCTCCTTCCGCACTGTGCTGAAGAACTTCTTGGCTTCTGGAGGCTGGAACTCAATTTTCTTAAAAGAGTGATTTGCTGGAGGGGGAAAAGAGAAGAATCAGTCCCTACGTGGAGGCTCTGACAGCTCCACCTGCAAAGCTAACTGCACCTTGGTCGCAGGGCCTCTGGGAGGGCAGCCACCTGGTGTGTGTGCTGTCAGGGGAGTAAACCCAGGGGCCTCCCTCGCTGTTCCTGCACAGGACAATGCTTGTCCTTGGGGACAGGTGTGGAGCCCAAGCCAGATGTGTTTACAAAATCAGGAGCCCTGCAGTAGGCAGGGGAAGGTACAGACAGGAGCAGCCCACAGGAGCAGCCCACTCACAGGGTGCAAACTCCAGCACCGAGAAGACCTCGCCCTTGGCGCTGGTGAAGGTGACGCCAGGCTTGCCACCACACTGCTGGCAGAGCACAGGCGTCTCGCTGGGCCACTCAGCCTTCACTGGTGAATGCCCCTCAGGCTTGTCCTCTTTGCGCTCCATGTCGGGTGCTGCCTCCATCTTCTCCTCCTCCACAATGGCCACATTGTCCAGGGTCTTCTTGAGGTTCTCCTGCAGCTTCTTGATATCATCTAGAAACTTCTTCTCTCTGGTGGGCTTCTCAGGCTCCACAGTAGGGGAAGTGGGAGAGCCCGTCAGCAGCTGCTCCACAGTCATGTTCTTGAGGCTCTCCAGGATCTTGATGGCCTCCTTCAGCTCTCGGAAGCTTTTGGGGGGCCCATCCTTGCCAGCCTTCTCCATCAGCCCTGCCATGGGTGCAGCCATGGCCACAGCCCCCTGGATGGCAGCGGTAGCAGCCTCTTCACTGATCACCACTCCCTTGTCCTCCTCAGGAGCTGGCAGCTGCTCAGTGGGCAGGATGGGGGGCTCCTCTATTTTGGGGTGCTCATCTTCCACCAGCCCGTTGTCTGTCTCCCAGCTGTCACTGTCATCCTCCCACTCGTCTGAAGATGCCCCACTGGTGCTGCCTTCCACTGAATCATAGTCTGACTCCTCGATCTCAGACTCGATGTTGTACAAGTGCTGGGGGTAGAAGGTAATGCATTGGTAACTCAGACAGGAAGGGTTTCCCTCACTAAGGAGTTCTGGGGAATTCATCCTCGCAGCTAATGGTGATCTCTGGGGCACTGATGACACCATTCTACATTCCCCCCTTTTCTGCTCTCAGTCTTGCAGTTTGAGTGTCCCTGTGCCAGGGAGTTCCGAAGTTTGAGTGGGGCCCTTCACATGTCCCTCCTACCCCTGGGCAGGACGCAAAGCTCCAATCAACAGCCACTAGATTCTTCCCTACTCTGTGAATTTGGTCAGCACCCGCCCAGGGATAAGGGGCCTGAAGGGAAATCTTAGCAAATCCAGCCCACCACCAAGACTCAGGCCAGCTACTGATGCCCCAGGACAGCTTTTATGGGCAGTAGCAGGAGCTGGGAACCCGAGACAGGAGGGCAAGTGTAGGAGGGCTGGCCACAAAGAGGGAACAAGGCATTCCAGGACCCACTGGTCCATTCAGCACACCTACACTTGACCCTGCCAAGCCAGAAGAGGCTAGCGGGGCTGCACGGCTGGCTAAAGCAGGGCTGGAATGGGGTCAGCTCTTCTTGCCTTTGTCTGTTAAAGTGTTCCTGGAAGCACTGGGAGGAAAGTCCCTCCACCTAGGAATAACTTGCACTTTCTCAATACAGAAAGCTCAGAATCCAAGGGAAGCCCGCAAGTCTGAGAACACCTCCAAGTACTCGGGGATGTGGGGTACTTCTGTCTGTTCACCTGGGACTCAATGGGGATAGACTAGAAAGCCTATCTCTAGAGCCTTAAGGACAGAACAGAGGCTAAAGCTCCCAGCAAGGCCACAAGCCCGGGGGTCTTGTCAGAGCCTTACCTGGGGCAGGATGATGGTCTTTGAGTTGTCAGCCCACACCACCTCCACCTTGCTGCTGACATCCACGCGGGCCACCTGACCCACTGACGGCTGCTGGTCGAAGGAGACACAGTCAAGGGGGTGTCTCTGAGGGGGGCAGAGGCCAGAGCACCTCTAAAGGAACCCTAGAAAGTGGGTGCCAAGCAAGAGGCTACAAGGATTGCAGGAAGTGAGCACCTTCAGGAGATGGCATGGGACCCTCTCACACAAACTCTCTCAGTGCTCAGCATGACAGCAGTGCATGTGCAACACAGCTCTTCCCAAGCCTGCTCTCCTTCGCACCCCAATGCTCTGGCCTCCCCGGGCTCCACACCCTCCCCCGCATGGGGTTCCTGCCTCCACACTCTCACTCCTAGTCTCATGGAGTCTGCCCCAAACCCACCCAACATTCTCACTTTTTCAACACCCTGCTCACGCTCTACTTCCCAAGCCTCTGCTCTGCAGTACTTGACTTAATGCTCACATGACTTGTGACACAGAACTTAGCTCCACCAAAATGCCATGCAGCAGGGCTCAGGAAGCCTAGATGCTACAGGGGTCAGGGCTGAGGAGCGGCGGGGGACACTAAGCCCAGAGGACTTTCATGTCTTGTGTTCTGCAGCCACCTGGTGGCTCAAACAGGGAATGCATATACTTGACAGGCAGGGACCAAGGATGCAGAATTTGAACCAGGGTGTACCTCATCCTCTTTGTGTGGAGCCCCATCCTCTGTGTTGCCAATTCGAATGACAATGTCAGTTGTGCGGAACCGAAAGTCAGGGTGATCAGCAATGTCGTAAACGCTCACATCTTCCTCTTCTCCAATGAGCTGTAGCACAGGATGGGCTGTCGTGAGCCAGGGACCCTCATAAGACCCTCATGGGACCACCAGAGCTCCCCTGAAGGAAGAGCAGGGGCCACACACTCACCTCCACATCGTCCCCGCTTGGCCGCAGCTTGAACCACTTTACCATACAGGTGCGGCCAATGTGGTCCCCAGACTGCACCACACCGTAGACAGCAGGGTCTGGACAGCTCTGAACTGGGGAACCAGAGGGGAAAAGACTAGCGAAGGAGCCCCAACAGTGCTCACTTCCATGCCCCACAACCCACAGCACATGGGCCACGCTCCCACCCTTGAAAGGGCAGCCTCCTGAATCTTTTTGCTTTTTTTTTTTTTTTTTTTTGGTACTGGGGATTGAACTCAGGGCCCTGCGCTTGCCAAGCAAGCGCTTATTCTACTGAGTCATCTCCCCAGCCCAGCCTCCTGGATCTTGTTTGAGCTCTGCCCTGAGAGCACCTGTCCATCCCTTCTGGCACCCCCAGGCTCTCATGGGCGGTGGCCCCACCGGTCACCTCAGGGCTGGTACTACCTCGCTTATCCACCACAAAGTCCCCTGGGCAGAATTCGTTGTTGTCCAGGTGGTGCACAGGAAACAGGTCATTGGAGCGGATGTTGCACTCCACAGAGCCATCCTGCCACATCACGTCAGCAGAGGTCATCGTGGTCACCACCTCCACTGCCACCCTGCCAGGCGCAGGACAGTCAGAGGCCATACAAGACCTCCAGGGGAAGGGCTGGGGAATCCTCTCCCTTCCCCCTTCTGCAGCCTGAAACTGGAAGTGCCAAACCCCTGGCAGCCAGGGAAAGAGGCCTGGTGCACAGAGCTCCCATTCTCAAGCGGCATGTTCTCCTGAGAAGCAGACACCTTTAGGAGAGTCCACAGGCCTGGCTTGGACCCTGCCACCACCCCACTTCCATAACATGCCAGATCCCTCTCATCTGCCAGGCCTGCCCTAGGCGCTGCCCGCCATGGCAGGTGCAGTCCCTGAGCTGGTACAAGGCTCATGTGCTCGTGCGCAGCCATGTGTGTGCCCGTGTGCCCTCTGCTCCACCTCAGACGGGATGCTCGGATTTACCTGTCTCCTGGCTTGAAGTCACGAGTGATCTTATTCTTCTTTCTCTTGTGCTTTCGCTTTAGGTTCTTGATGGACAGGGGGATGCTCTTTTTGCGACTTGTGCCACTGCCACTCTGGGAGGAGGTGGTGGAGCTGGCGGAGGAGGTCACGGAGCTGGTGTCATCGGTGTCATCAGCAGCCTCATCATCTGCATCCTGCTCTGCTGTGTGCAGCCCATCATCTCCACCCTCCTTCAGCAGGAAGGGGGGCAGTGGCTGGCCGGTTTCATGGGGCTCCTCAGGACCTTCATCCTGCATCTCCACAGGGCTGGCAGACCCGTCAGGTGGCTCCTCCGGGCTGGCAGACCCCGTTTCACTCTTGGTCCTGGCGTCCCCTTTCTTGTCTGGGTCCTCCATAGTATGGTCCCTGGAACACTGGGTGTCCGGGGAGCAAGACATGATCCGCACAACCTGCTTCTTTAACAGGCGCTTTACCTGGAGGGGCAGAGAATGACGGGCTGCTGTGCAGGGCGGCCGGCAGAAGTCCTCCCTGTGCCCCTGGGACACGCCCCAAGGTTCAAACCAAAGACCACTTTTCTTGGCTATGGAAATGGCTCCTGGCCAGTTCCTCAAGTGCCTGCCAACCCCAGCCCAAGGACATACCTTCTTGGCCATAGAGCCCTCCCCCTGGGCGCAGTGTTTTTCTGGACATTCCCAGGCAATCCTGGCTGGCTCTACCTTGGCTGGGAAGACATACAGACAGCGCTCCCCCAGCTGCCGCTGAGCATGGTCAAAGCATCCGAGACGCTTCACCCTGGAGGGGAGAAGCAGGGGCTGGGCTGGGCTTCGAGAAGCCAGTGTGTTCCGGGCCCTCTGTGTACCTACAGCTGGGGGCCCAGGGCTGGGCCCCAGATGTGGCCCTGGGACTACAGAAGTGAGGCATACTCACCTGCATAGATTTTCCTGAGTGATGACAGAGGGTGGGGGGCTGACACTGTCTGTGCCCCCTGGACAGAAACTCTTGGTAATCCATGTGACTTTCAGTTCTACAACCTGCACCTGGGGACGGGAGGTGGGACAGGACAGTTAAGGCAGATTCTTAAGCTACTGAGCTATCTTCCCTGCCCCTAAATGGCAGATTTCTACTGGACTTTTTTCTCCCCCAGTGGTATTGGGGATTGAACCCATGGTACTCTCTGTAACCTGATGTCTAGATACCTTCGAACCTCGGCATGGTAGCGAACCTTCATGGTAACACCCTGTAAAGGCATGTGCTACCCTCCCTCTCACTCAGCCTGTGCAGGCAGGTTAGGGGAGATCGGCCCATGGGCCACTCCATGACCAGATCCTGGTCTACCTTTATCCAAAGACCTCTCGGTCCAACAGGGTCTGGGTGCTGAGCAACAAGCAAAAAAGGGGCAGAGGCTCAGCTCCAGGGTGTGGATACCAAGGACACCACCCTCACCCCTGCCCACTCCCTACCTCCTCCACCACCACACGGAACTTGCTCTTGGTGCTGAGCACAGGCTTGACCCCTGACAACCACTGGACACTGGAGAAGATCTTGGCGGGGCCAATGAGCACCTGGCCCGGGTAGAAACCATAGGAATCATCGAAGAAGAGACCCTGCAGGATTTAGGAAAGAAAGTACTGGTGAGTACTTGGGTGACAGTGTTCCTTGTACCTGCCCTAGCCAACCCTGCCTGACGAAGCCATACCACACAGGCCACACTCTCACAAGTGACACATCCTATGGCACTTGATCAACTACACAAGCAAACCAGTCACCCAGGGACCTTGTTAAGTTGCAGCTGCAGATTTGTTCTGGGTCCCTAACAAGCTCTCATCAGCACCAATGCTGCTGGTCAAAGGTTATACCTCAGTTCTGGAGAACAGTTCCCCAAATCTGTTTAATCACACACCCTCCTGTACTAAGTCACTCTACACATCCCCAGAGACTTTACATTCTGATTTTTTTTTTTCTTTTTCTTTTTCTTTTTTTTTTGGTATAGGGAATTGAACTCAGGACCTTACACTGCCAGGCAGGTGCTTGTGCTGCTGATCTATATCCCCAGCCATCAGAGGTTTTAATGGATGAGATGAAACATGTAATTGTAAAGAAAAGTTCCAATATTCTGTGCCCAAGCCCCAGCTTCTGGACAGTCTGGTGCACACCCATCATTGTTCTGGGAATCCACTTTGCTTGGCCTGTGTCAGCTCTGAGCTCTCTGCTGAGAAGTTCTTCCTATGCAGCCAAAGGAGCCAGAGAAGGTCTGGCAGGGCTCACGTACCGAGTCACTGACGTGTGGGCAGACATCGTACAGCTTGGCACCATCTTCTGTGTTCATGGAGCACCTGAAACAGTGAACAGAGGCTTGGTCCCCACCAGGCACAACCACGCACCCAGTGTTGGTGATCTAGAGGTGCCAAGACGTCCAGAGCCTAACAGCTACATTCTTCTTTCACCAACAGCTCAGCCTCTGCAATGGTGCAAGACCCAAAGCCTCACCCACATGCTCACTGCTGTAAAAGTGTCAAATAAAGCCCGCTGTCTGCAGATAACCTAAAGAAAGACACTTCACCAAGATAAAGCAGACCAGAAATTAAGCAGGTGAACTGGGCCACACCAGATAAAGAGGCCAACACAGGGTAGGTCCCGAATGGCAGGAACATGGTAGTCCAGGATGAGGCCTGTATATGGCCTACAAGGAAGTCCCCTTCCCCCCGTCCACCTTCTACAGGCTGCCCTTCCCCAGCAGAGGAGTCCCTGCTGGTGAGACCCACCTTGCGCCATTCGACAGCTTGAGGATGATCTGATTCTTCAAGTCATAGACCTTCCCCAGCCAGCAGTCATAGGCAATGTAGTCCCCATACATGAAGGGCTGCAGAGCAAGGGCACAGAATGGTGAGAGAGAGAGGAGATGCTGCTGCTAATGCCCAGCACATGAGTGCAGATGGCACACAAGGCTCTGGATGGCTTGTGTGTGGATCGGCCAGCTACTGGACCTACACAACTGCCGTGTAGGCTCCTGTGACAGTTCCAGACTGCATCCTTGAGGCTTGCTCCCAGGAAGTGGCAGTGGTATGGGGGCTCCCTGGGGAATGTGGGAGGCTGCAGGGACAGAGGAGAGCCATACAGTTAGGAGGTGGCTGCGTGGACAGGTTGAGTAAAGGGCATAGTAAACAGACTGATATATTGAAGATACTGAGAGCCATATTTCTCACTGTTGACAGCATGCCATCAACAGAGAGGGGGAAGGAGAGGAAGAGCTTCAGGTGTTAAGGTTAAGTCAGAGGGCCTGGCAAGCGCAAGGGCCTAAGTTCAATCTCTGGTTCTGAAAAAATAAATACATAAATAAAAAGATTAAATCAGAGGTATCAAGACAAACATGTATACTTCAGTTTACATGCAGACTGGGTACCGACATAATTAGGAGGGTCCTAGTGCCATCCTAAAAAGGGTCCAGTAGAATTAGCACACCTAGCATCCAGATTTTACTTGGTTTCTTTTTTCTTTTGTTCTGTTTGCTGTATTAGGAATGAACCCAGGGCCTTGAGCATGCCAGGCAAGTGCTCTACCACTGAGATACAGCCCCAAGATCTTGGTTTTTAAAATGCTATTCTTCCCTGAAAGGAACTGGGTCCTTGGAAAAAGGGCTGACTCCTGGGCTAGATCAGAGAGAAAGTATAAGATGAGCTTGAAAGATCTCTTTTTATCAGAAAGTGCTTCAAAAAGCAAAGGGAGAGGGAGGGATCCATCTGAAAGCAACACAAAAGCTAGCCTGAAAGCACTTGCATCAGCATCACAGGAAGTAAGAGGAGCAGTGAATTACAACTTACTCCAAGGGTTATCTTACACAGAAAAAATAGCACAAATAAGCTGTCTCTCACTGCAGCACTTTGAAAACGGAGACAAGAACATCACAAGTTCAAGCATGGGCTGGGCAACTCAGTGATTAGGGAGACCCTGTCTCAAAATAAAAAAATAGAAAGGGGTGGGAATGTAGCTCAGTTCTCAGACTGTGGGGATTCAATCCCTAGTTTGGAGGAAAAATTAAGAAAAGATTAGATGAGCCACGGCTGGGGATATAGCTCAATGGAAAGGTTCAAAATAAGCCAACAATAAATGAGCTAGGAGATACAGCAGTGAAGCTCTTGCACACCTGAGAACACCAACTAGTAACAATGAGAGAAGGGCAGCTTCACACACTCGCCACAGCAACATCAGAGTGGTCAAGCTGGCTTGGGGGGAGAGACTAAGGCTGGAGAGTGTGACAGGACCATGTTACCGACACTGTCTTGGGACACTTCCCCACCAAATGGAGTCACTTACAAAGGGGTAAAGGAGACTAGTGTAGACACCTGGGGATGCCAGCATGGTATGGCTACTGAACACTGGGCCAGAGGAGAGCTCGGTAGGGGCCATCCTGGTCAGGCTCAGGAGGCAACATCAGACCAAGGGTGAAAGTCATGCTACTGAAAGTGTCCCTGTCCAAGATGTGGAGCAAGAACAAATATGGGAGCCACGCCAGATTAGAGAGAGCCGGAAGAGCTGACAACTAAGTGCCAGATATATTCCTGAGTGGGCCAGAAAGGAAAAAGGACATTGTTAGGATGACCGAATGAGGTCTGAGAACAGAACAGCAGCACGGCAGTGCTTATTTCCTCAGCTGGGGGATCATGCTGTAGTTACACGGGGGTGCGCCCTTGGTTCTGGAAAACATGCCAGTGTTCAAGGTGATGGGCATGTATCTTCCCTTGGGCTAGAGAGAGGGATCTGGGGAGTCGGAGCAAATGGAGTGAGATGCTAACAGCTGAAGAAGCTGGATGAGGTATTTACCATCTTTTTCAAAGTTTGAAATCATTTAGAAAACAGATTATTGAAAAGAAGGGCTGGGGAGATAGCTCGGCAGTCTAAGTGCCTGCCTGGCAAGCTCAAGGTCCTGAGTTTGATCAGTGGTACTGCACGTGCCGTGCTAGCCCCGAAACCAGGCACACGCCTGTAATCTCAGTGCTGGAGAGGCTGAGACAGGAGGATCACTGTAAGTCTGAACTGCATAGCGAGAGACTCTGCATCAAACAGGTGAAATAAAAATTTTAAAAAAGAAATCTTTTTTTTTTTTTTAAGTGGTATGCTGCCTATACTCCCACTCCCTCTTAGGAGGCTAAGGCAGGAATGCAGTGAGTCTGAGGCCAGCCTGGGCTACATGCAAGAACAAGAAGTATTAGAGAAGGGGAAACAGCGAAGGAGAGCCACACTGGTGACCTCTGCTGGGCTGGAGGGGAAGGATGTGTCATGCATGCTCTTGTGTCTGAATGGCTCACTTGAAGCTCAAGCATGAGGCCACCTGGAGCAAGCTGGCCACAGTGAAATGAGCTGCTGACCACAGAGCCGAGAGCACTCCACAGAGGCCGCTCACCCAGATGTGCTGCAGGTCCTTGCTGTTCACAGGGTAGATGATGCAGTTGGTGCCGATGAGCTTGACGGCGCAGTCGATGTTCACATCTATCACTGTGCCGCACTGACTGTCCTGAGGAAGGGAGAAGGCACCTAGGCCACGGCCACAGGGGAAGACCCGCCCAGACAATGCCACGGTGGCCTCCACCAGAGCCAGGCAGCTCTCCTGCAGGGAGTGGGGCAGGCAGGCTCAAGGTGGTTACCCAGGGGCCCAGGATAGGGTGGGGACCCAGGACTCACAGTGGAGCGCATGTGCCGGACCACATCTCGGGGCACCACAGAACGGTCCTCTAGTTTCAGCTGTGAATGGAAACAAGGTGTCAGAGGGGGGCTCTGAAGCCATCAGAAGACACACTTCCAACTTCTCCCATGCGTACCTCCTGTAAGGCAGGTGTGCACTATCCTAACTCTTGTGCTGGAGGCATTTCCACAACTACACATGGCCCCTCACCAGCAGCCAGATCTAGAGGTGGCATGTGTCCCGCCCAGAGGCCTGCAGTGTCCCATGCAGACAAAGCCTAACACTAGGCTCACTGGAGGTACTCTTGTTTTTTGTGGTGTTGGGATGGAACCTGGGGCCTCCTTGCTCACGCTAAATGACACTGCCAATAAGTGCTTAGCCCCACCCCAGGCTCAGGAGGTGCTCCAAGACCACAGAAGTAGGGAGCATGACTGAATGACAGAACACAAAGGCCTGGCTTTAGGGCAAGGTTACTACCTGCCTACATCTGTGTGAGTTAATCCTTTCCTACCCTCCTCCAACCCCAGCTTTTCAGTACCCACCTCCAACCCCAGCTTTTCAGTGCTGAGGACAGAGGGCTGGGACCTGCATAACTGGCGTGAGTGGGTGGGTGGGGTCACCCTGACCATACACTGTGACACTGCATTCTAATCTGGCTTGTCCCTCATGCCTGCTGCAGTCTGCCCCTTATCTAGGCACTGCAGAGCTGCTTCAAAGCTGGGCTGTGCACCCAGGCACCTGATCTGCCCCTTCACACACCCTGGGCAGCTGCCACCACTCCTGCTGCCCAGCTGCTGGATCCTCTCCCGAAGCCCAGAGGGGCCGGTTCTCTGCAGAGTGGCCTCTCTTCTCTTTTGCTGGGTGCCCCAATCTGGGCTGCTCCCTGTCATCCCTCACTGACTCACAGGAATGAGTGGTCCCTGTTTCTGCTCACCAAGACCCTAAGCCCCAGGGCTAGGAGAGCTGCTCCCTCAAATACCACCCAAAGGGACAGTACTTAGCAGCAGCCTCTCTGCTCACAACCCCTGTACCCCGGAAAGGCAACACCACAAAGGCAAATCCCAAGTGCTGAAATTGTGGCAATGACGACTAAAACTCTATCAGCAGGACATAAAGGGAAGCAACAAACCCCACCACCAACCAGCAGTGTGGAGATTACACCGGCAGCCCAAGCCACTCCAGCTGACACCTAGGCTAGCAGTTCAACACAGGTCCTTGGGTCAGACACCAAGGAACCCCTGAGAGACACTCTTGTCTGCATATGCAAAATTGAGGGGATAGCAGCTATCTTAGGGTGACCACCATGGGACTGCACAAGCATGGAAAAATAGTACAGACATGCTAATGCTGTGTGGAGCCCAGGAACTGTTCAGCCAAGCTGGCTGTGGTCACTGCCTGACCTCATGGCCCCTGGAAGGTGCAGGCAGAAGCCCCTGAAGGGCCAGGTTTTTCAGACAGGTGTTTCAGGGCCCAGGATGCAGAGGCTCACGGGATGCCACTGTCCCTCTTCTAACTCCAAAAAACTTCTGTGCTATAATGCTGTGTGACATCTCTGTCACACAGAGCCTTGTATTTTCTGTGCTGCCCCGTCTAGCCCAAAGCCCTTCCCAGCTCAGACTTCAAAAACACACAACTGGGGTCTTCTGATGCCATCACAGAAACCGGAAGCTGTGATGTGGGAAGCCCAGGGCAACAGGGTCCTAAGAGAGAACGCTGCACATCATTCCCTGGTGGTATCTGTCAGGTAAAGAGCTGCCCAGAGGGAAGGGGGGAGCGGCAACGTGCTTTTTTTCTACATATACTGTCCAGGCTCCTGTACCCCCTAGAGGGGGAGAGGAAGCTGTGGCTGAAGCAGGAACAGCATAGAGGGCAAAAGCTGGGGCCAGGGTGGGGCCATGTTCCTGAAGAAGGGTCTTGCAGCACCCACCAGCCTGTACTCTGTCTTCAGGGCTCCCTCTACCCCTTTTATGATGAGGAAAGTGCTCGGAGCAGGGTATCAGCATGGGGAGCGTCACAAGGGCAGGAGAGGAAGTGGGGGCACCATGCAGCCACTTGCTTTTCCCATGGGCAGCCCAGAGGGTGACCAAGGTGTACTGAAGGGCAAGCAGCAAGGCTCTGCACTGTGCACAGGGCCTGCTTTCAACTCTACACGACTACAGTTCCTTCCCAATGGCTCCTTCGCTCTCCTTGCTCCCTGCAAACCTTCCCTGCTTAGCAACACCTCTCAAGAGTCCCCATTCTAGAAGGAATCGCCCTGCTCAGGCACCTACGAGCTCTGCGGCTTCTACCACCCCACAGCACCATGGCAGGTGCTCGCTGCATGCTGGGCGCTTCCATACATCTCCCCTACAAGCCGCTCCCCAGCAGCATGGAGTGAGCACTATGATTCTTGTCATTTCCATTTCCAGATAAGTAAACTGAAACCAAGAGAAGGCAAGTAACTTGTTTAGTGTCCTGCAGCTTTACAGGGCAGGAGGCAAGATTCGCACTCAGCAGCCTGACTTGTCCTTTCTCTGTAACAAATAAAAAGCAGATCCCACCTGGCATGATGGCCCACAGCTATAATCCCAGCACCTGGGAGGCTGAGGCAGATGATCCATTCAAGTTCAAGGCCAGTCTGAATTACCTAGCAAGACTTTTTTTTTTTTTTTTTTTTGCGGAATGGGGATTGAACTCAGGCCCTTGCGCTTGCCAGGGAAGCGCTTATTCTACTGAGCCATCTCCCTGGCCAAGACTCTCTTAAAGGAATGACAAAAAACACTTCATACCTCCCCAGAGCTGCAGAGGTAGCAAGAGACTAAAATATACTTCTGGCCATCTGTGCTGGCCCCCATCTGTGTGCCTAGCACAATGGGGGGCTGAAGAAGGTGATCACAAGTTTGGGCCCAGCCTGAGCAACTTAATAAGACCTATATTAAAACAAAAACAAAAGAAAAAATGAAAACTGGTCTGGAGAATATAAGCTCAGTGTGAGGACTCTGGGTTCAACTAGAACTGAGGGAAAAATTCTGGCAGGTCTACACATCGTCAAAGACGATGAGTATTCTGGTCATAAAAACAATAAAGTATTTCTGGGGTGTCTGCAAAATAACTGCTGTACTGGTTGCAGATCCCTTCAGGCCCTGTCCCTGGGGGGCGGGGGGGGGGGGCTGTTTGCCTTTGCCTTTGGTTTCATCTACAACTTAAAATGTCAAGTACTCAAACCACAGCTGCCAGATGGCATTGGGAGCTGACACTAGAGGGCGCTGTGCCTGCTCTCCCAAAAGGAGATCCCAGAGCAAAATTTGGCTGTGAAACAAACAGGAACCTCCTAACTAAATGTTCTTTTAAAACAATATTACATAGGGATGGGGAGGCTTAGAGACGGATGGGTAGATTTCGGCTATCATTATACTCGAAAACTCTGAACAAACTCAGAGTGGGCATCTGTTGTGTAACAACTGGAGTGCTATAGCAGCCATCAGAAGTTTCTGAACAGAAAAAGGGAGGAAAACAAGACACTGAAGTGCTGCATCTCTGTACACGGGGAGGGGCATGAGTAGACAGACTGAGGTGGACTCACATTGTCTGGACACTTACTAGCAGGCCTTGGGGATGCCTACTGGGATCCCAGGACAGGAGCCTCTGCTGCCTGCTGTGAAATAGGAGATCTGTCACGTGCTGTGGGACCTAAGGAATTCACTGCGTGGACACCAAAGCTGATGGAGCACTTCTTGTGCCAGGTACTGCAGAGCCCAGGCCCTGCTCTGCCAAGCCCCTGCCCCAGCACCAGGAGTGGGGGTGGGGTGGAGAGCAGGGACAGACGTGGGTCAGGCGGTGCTCAGAGCCATACAGAGAAAGGAGAAAGGGGAAGGGGAGCAAGGGGGGGCCCAGGGTGCAAATGAGAGTTGAGAGACCAGAGCAGCTGTCAGGGACAGAGCACGCAGTGTCTGGAGGCCGGCAAGAGCAGGGCTCACAGCAAGGGCAGCCCCGGGAGGTGGAAGCTCACCAGAGTGGCACTTCCACTCTATCCTGCCAAGTAGACCACCCTCATCCTGAGGCTCGTGCTGCTTCTCTGAACTGCGCCTTGAGGCCTATGTGCCCCGCAACGAATGCCTGGTTCAGACCCTCATCTGTGACACTGAGCTTGGCTGATCAGGTCACTCGATTCACTACAGAAATTTGTTCATGAGTAAAAAAGGCAAACTAAGGCTGGCTAACAGGTTCAACATGGATGATGCTAAAACAAAGACACTTCCAATAGGTTTTGAACATCATGGCCCTGTAGGAGGGCGTGGCCTTTGGGTTGGCCAGCTGCATACAGTGAAGCACGTGCCCTAGGACTTAGGCCTGGTCACTGGCACCAGGATTTGGAACACTAAATGGGCTCCTGATCCAGGGGGGAGCTGCAGGAAGTCCAAAGGGTGGATTTTAATGAGACCTTCATGTGTTTATCTCAAGGCTGAGAACTACCAGCCACACTAAAGAAGGCCAGAGCAGGAGATGTGGGCATCCTTCAATCTTGGAAACAAACTCCTTTTCTGGGGGCTGATGATGTCATCAGTACCGGCTCTTGAACCTACCACTAGGGGTGGTTGCCAATCTGAAAGGCTCAGCTTGAGGCCAAGCACCCAGGAGGCTTAATAAAGTCCTAGACAGAGGCCTAGTCTAGTCCTAGAATACAAGGACAAGCTGACTGCCAGCTTCACACTGTCCCTGATGAGAAGAAAACAGAAGACAGCTTGTAGTGGCCCTGGGTTAGGTTTGCCTTTAGAATGAGGCTTCACCTTTGCCTGACCATGCCAGGCTTAAGAACTCAGAGGCCCAGCAGGCATGAAACTGCTCATTCAAGCACGACTCTAAGAACAGGTTCCCAAGCAAAGTGGGATGGTGCACACTTATAATCCTATCTACTGAGGATGCTGAGGCAAGGCAATTGCACATTCAAGACCAGCCTGAACAACTCCACGAGACCATGTCTTGAATAAAAGGTGCTTGGGATGTAGCTCAGTGCTAGTGTCATATGTGAAGCCTTTGGTTCAAATCTCAGATGGCACCCCCCAAAAGAAAACCCAGATAC